TCCGACAACCCCAAGGACCGTGGTACGCAGTGTCTGCTGACCTAGTAGGCCCATTGCCTAGATCACAGCGGGGTCAGCGATTTCTGCTCGTGGTGCAGGATACCTTCAGCAAATGGACGGAACTTGCCTCCATTGCGTCTGCAACCGCAAAGAATGTGGTGACAAAGCTGAAGGCTATCCTACTTCGACATGGAGCTCCGGATGTGTTGATTACGGACAACGGCACGCAGTTTGTCGGTAAACTGGTTCGGGAGTTGGCGGCGGAGTGGGGCATCACGCTGCAGACGACGGCCCCCTACAGCCCACAGTCGAACCCAGTCGAGAGGCAAAACCGGGTGGTGAAGACTATGATTGCGCAGTTCGTAAAAGGCAACCATAGGTCTTGGGACAACCACCTGGTGGAGTTTCAGTACGCCCTAAACACAGCTGTCCACGACTCTACTGGATTCACTCCTGCGATGCTGTGTTTTGGTCGCGAACTGAAGCCTCCCTGTGCCGTCCGTGGCCCTTCGTTTGAGGTGTCTGAAACTCCCCAAGGTCCCTCGTTGAGCGAGACCCATCGCAAACGACTGGATGAGTTTCAGTGTCTGTTCGCGCAGACACACAAGAACCTCAAGGCTGCCTATGAGAGGCAATCGACATATTATAACCTCCGTCGTAGGGAGGTGACTCACGAAGTTGGCACGCAGGTGATGAGAAGACTCCACATCCTGTCTTCCGCTGCTGACGCCATCGTAGGGAAATTAGCACCAAAATATCATGGCCCCTGCATTGTGGTCGGTCGTCGAGGTGCTAATCTCTACGAGGTACGAGACGAGGATTCTGCTGCGGTGCACGTCGTGCACGTGAAAGACTTAAAACCTTTCTGTGCACGTGACTAATATGCAAGGATCCCGCAACCGCAGCGACGTCTGGTGATCCGTTGTTCGTCAGTCCTTTCGGTCACGTCAAGCTGCCGACAAGCAGCCATAGCTAACCCTCGTCTGGGGGTGACGTATCCTCGTGAGTAGCTCTTCGCCCCGCTTCCAAGACTCCGAGCCTGCCGTACTACCCTACCTTTGTAAACCCCACGCTTACTCTTCACCTTTGGTTACTCTTCGCCCCGATTCGTTTTCGTCCAGACCTCTGAGGCAACTCGGCCTCAGACAGTCTACATCATTACTAATTTCGCCCACTTTTCGTCGTCAACACCCTGGAGCAGCCGGACCAACGGGGTCCGGCATCGGCTTCTGTCAATTTTTCCTGCCCACGATCCTACTGATGTGTCATCTGCAGGAAAGTTCAACAGCTTTTTTCTTTTTCTCGTTTTTCTTTTTTTTCGTTCCGAAGTGTGGAGGGGGTGTAACGGGTCAAATGTGTAGGGGGTAAAATAACGGCTAAACCACGAAACTTAAACAGCTGAATGTAAGCTGTTGTTGTGCCCTAGTCGCGACGCTAAACTGACATCGCACCTAACCTCCAATTCCAAGACAGCAGACGACGTTGGTGTCAGTTTGGTTGTTTGGTTGTTCGACTGCGTCTGAGGGCGGGCTACGGGAGAGAATAAGAGCAGCTGATCCACTTTGTGAGCGAGGCAGCTATAAAGCATGTTAAAGCTATCATACGCCTGCCTTTGCTGACACGGGACTCAGCTGACTCTGTTTGTGCTGACCAATCAGGAAGCGTTTTAACTTTCGTCTCGATTCTGAGACGAAGGTGAGGGAAGAAGAAGAGTGGTGGAGGAGATTGTCATTCGTAATCCCGGCTTTTCGTAAGTTTGTTTCGCTTTTGGTTCGTTCTCGAAAATTCGTGCAAGTTAAAGTTCGTATCGCAAGCTCTGAAAGCTTAAGTTCGTACGTATTGTTTCGTAGTGATTATTTTGATATAATTTCGTCATCGGGTAAGTTTTGTAACTAACTTACAGATTATTGTATATTACTTGACCAGTTTTCGTGTACGAAACTTGGTTGAACTTGAAGGCTAGGCCTGATTCGCAGACCTAGTCATACGCCTTAACCAACAATTTGAGTAAAGTACTGCAGTTGGTGAAATATATTTTCAATTACGTTTCATAATCCGTCTTGGGACTTTCTTTTTTAATTCTTAAAACCCTTTTTTTAAAGTTCCCCAAACGTACCAAAGTCTGTTCCAGCAGACAGGTTTCTGCTGGACAAGTTCTGTCGAAGTTGGTCTAAGTTGAACACGTGAGGAAGTTAAAGTTTTAGTTTTTCGTTTTTGGCTCAAGGAGCAGTTTCACCTTTTTAGTTTTGTTTTTTGTTCGTTCCTCACCTGGACCACTTAGGCTAACTTGTTTTCTTATCATTTTAGTAAATTCGGACTCTGTGGGAGTTAGACTAGGTTAGGCCTATTCTTGTTCTAACCTTGTTTGTTTCAGGTTGACAACTTAACTCCGTAGGTAAGCGGAGTGCCTACTTAGCTTACTTGTTGATTTGTTAAGTTAGCTAGTAGTGTGTCATTTAGATATTTGCCCACAGAGTCAAGTCAAAATTATTTATTTCCCCACAAGCCCTAGGCTAGAGTGGTGATTTCGAGTAGGGTGTTTAGTAACCCGCAACGTTCGTCTCGAGCTCTGACAACCAGGGCTATCAAACTTAGGCTATCCGAATCACTATCGACTCCTGGGAAACTCCCCGCGACCAGACTAGGGCGAATCCTGGGATCCTCGTTTTGTTACCGGTGGCGTAATTTCCCACTTGTAGTCCGCCAGGAAAATTACGTCACACCTCTGTAAACAGGTATACAAGCAAAAAACGTGCAATAATGTATGTGTATTTTCTTTAATTTAAAGGAGGATTAAAATATTTTGACAATTTTCAAAATACAGTATCTCAAAAGTTGTAATTTCCATTTTTGATTGCTAACCGTGCATCTTTAATCAGTTGTAACAAAATTTGCCAAACGGATGTTGATGAGGTCCACACTTGTCTGTAAACACACAATTGACAACCGCAACACATAATGAGGCAATTATTAGCCGTTGTGTCGAGCTCCTGGCTTTCAGTGGTTTTCTACACAAGTATGCTCTAGTGCTCTGGCGGGATGTTAGTTTGTAAGTGCAGTTGGCCACCGTGCAAATAATCACGTATGTTTTCTGTGAAATAATATAGCTAAATCTTATATTATCTTATCTTACTAATATTATAAATGTGAAAGTTTGTGTGTTTGTTTGTTTGAAGTTAAATCACTGATTAATTACTAGACGGATTGGGTTGATATTTGCATGATGATACCTCACATTCCCCAAATAGGCACATTCCTATCTCAAAAATCCTTTCGGACTCCATCCCAGTGGCTCTGGATTTTCCCATGTTTACCTTATGACTCTTAGGAGTACTCTTATTTAAATGGAATTAAAGAATTTAGTCAGCTGTTTCAACTTTACAAGTTGGTTCTATAATATGCAATAGTATTAAAAAGTTATAAGGTTTCCCAACAGGACGCAGCACTATTATTTTTTTAAATTATGAAAACAGCTAATTTGAACCAAGCAGCAACAAAAAACTGTGATACGCAATGATAAATGTCTGTTTACAGTTTTGTTTATGTTTTTAATTTCACGAATAATTTGTGATATTTTACGAATCTTTAATAATTTTTTTTCTATTGTTTGGGTGAAGTGGTAAAACATTATGGCTATGGTAGATGTGTAATACTATAGTCCTACCGTAAATTTAAATCATTCTGTGTCCTCACCCATTGTAAGCGCAACGCTTGAGTATAACTGCAATAAGCATTTTATACTTATATACCAACCCCGTCCGAAGAACGGGTACTCTGCTAGTATCTAATGTTTATAATAAATTAAATACACTATATCTGAGACTGACTCAAGCAATCTTGTAATTCCTGACATTAAGAGGCATGGGGTAAAATCGGGGGATTTTAAAGGACTTTTATCTAGTTGGATACTAACGATTGGTGTCAGATCACATGAGTGTTTTGGAATTCCTTCACTTCGTATTGTAGGGGTCGAACAAAAATCTATTCGAAACCAGGAATCTTTGCTTCCAAATAAATTATATTGTTTTGTAAATTTAGAAATATAAACTTGAATGAGATGAACTATTTGTCCCACCTTCACATCATAGGATGCTAGGTAGGAACCTCTCCTCTCTACACATTACTTCAGGCGAGGTTCGCGGCTTATTGCAACATTGGAGATTGGTGGTATTTGAACACAGAACCTTAGACATTGATGTCTGCAAAAATTAGCAAAATTTTAATTTATATTTACAAATTATATGTTGTGGACGTTTGGATCAGTATGTCAAATATCTTTCGTTATTTTTTTCCATTGCTCAAAAATATTTACTATCAAAAATTGAAAATATGAAAAGTAAAAATAAGAATAGACACAGTTTTCTTTCAGTACAAATAATACGATATTAGTCATGGATCTGTAAGTGTAAAGAGACACACAGCTAGTGTATAGCGGACACTGGACAGATTGGCACAGCACCAGCACCAGCGGCTGTGATATTACATTACATTGCGGCTCATTTTAATTCGTTTTGTAACCCCTCATTACACTGTAACTGCTGAATCTGTGAAATTCACCGTCAAAAATACCCCGTATGAGATTCTGTCCATTTTTAAATTATTACATATTATGATAATTTCTACTTGTAAGATTTCCTAAACAATGGAAATTTTATAGCCATAATTGTTAGTGAACTTTTTTGTGCCCTAATAACAAGCAAATATATTTGACATAACATTCTTAGTAGAAGAAAATACAATAAAATAACTTTAACACACGAATCCCACATTGCAATATGAGTATTTTACGGAAAACTTTTTACATACTTGCTTAAAAAAAACAAATGGGGAGACATAATTACAGTAGGAAATGAATAAGGTATTAATTCTATAAAATTTATAGCTGTTTAGGACAGCTTAGAAGACTCACCCTGTATAACTATTGTATGTATAGCTTATATAACGTATAGTAACTTATAGTCAGCTATTATCAGTAATCTTTATTTCCATTGCCAACTTACTGTCAGAGGCAGACCACAGGCAGCGGAATCTCTGGCGGGAGATATGGCGTCCCTGATGAACTCAATGCTCTGCTGTAGAGCCACTGGGGCGTACCAACATGAGTCACGGATCTCTACACCCAAGGTCACGTTAGGGAGGATGGTAGGGTCTCTGTGAACATATCAACTGATGTTACTTTATCAGCCTTACTACCATATATATTGAACTAGCTGTAACCCGCGGGCTTTGCCCCGTTCAACTTCTTAATTTTCAAGATTATCTCGTTCGCATGGCTCAATCACGTCCTGGTTGAAGTTTGTTCGCTACGCTCACTCACCTTTAGGTTGGAGCTCGTTCGCTACGCTCACTTGCCTTCAGGTTAGCTCGTTCGCTACGCTAACTCGCCTCCAGGTTGAAGTTCGTTCGCTACTCTCACTCACCTTTTGGTTGCAAATTAGCTGTTGTCATAAATGTAAAAGAAATAATAGTGCTGCACCCTGTTGGTAATCCTTGTAACTTTAATGCTATTGAACATCATAGAACAGAACCAATTTGTTTAATTGAAACAGCTGTTAAGATTCAATAATTCCATTTCTCATAAGGTTAACATGGGAAACTCCAGAGCCACTGGGGCGGAGCCCAAAAGGATTTTTGAAATAAGAATATGCCTATATGTTAATCGGGAATGTGAGCTATCATCATGCCAAATTTCAGCCCAATCCGACCAGTATTTTTCGCGTTCACTTGTCACAAACATACATCCATACATCCATACATCCAAACTTTCTCATTTATAATATTAGTAGGATTTCGAATAATTTTTTGTATGTAGATAGTTTTTTTTGTATCTTTTAAACGCATGAAAGAAAAAACAAAATGGACGAAATGCTTGTTAATCATATAGATGCATTACTCAACGCTCCTTTTAGATGTTAATGGTTTCAGGCTATGCGCGATTACTGTAGCCCAGTTCTTGATCCAATCGAAGGTTCTTGCCCATTGAAAGAGGGGTTAAAACAATCTTACTGTTGTGAAGCATAATTTTAAAGTACCAATACACACAATAAAATGTCAATTTGAGGTTTCAATTTTTGTTTAGTTTTTACTCAATTAGTATAGCCAGGTACTACTAGAGGAATCTAAATAGGACGATAACATTTGTGAAAATTAACAAAATCGCAAATCATAGATAGAAATTACTTCAGGATTTAATGGATGAGTCAAAACCATTGTTAGCTATTCGATGGTTTTCAAAAAAAACAAATCCTAGCTTAATAGTTCACTGTTTTATGGAAAACCCTACTTAAATATCTTTCCCCAAAACACTGAAAATGTGTGTTCATATATTGCTTAAATCCAAGTAAATCGATCAATTTACCAAAATCTCTATTTGTGTGTAGTAGAGAAGTGGTGAAATAGTATATTTCATAATAAGAGTAGAAAGTGAGTCATTACATATTTCAGACCATGTTTGAAGTGTGAGATTTATCGAGCACTTTAAATGGTCGAGAGTGTGTATAGAACCACTTTCACTCGTGTTTTGAACGTTACTTTTCGCTTCACTACAAAGAATAATTATTTTTTTTCATTACAAAACTCATAGAGTTTTTTTAGATTAGGCCTTCAATTTAAAGTTAACATTTACTTTAGTTGTTGAAAATTTAAACAATTGATAACACAATAACAGATATTTGAAGTTGTTGACAGTGGAAAATTTTCGGTCGTAAACAATGTTACTTTCGGTAGTAAACAATAGACAGCTGTTGAAAATATGATGTTTCGCAAGTTGTAAACACATAACGAAAACTGCTCATTATAATTGGGACCACGTAAGGTTGCGGTTGAGGGAGGAGCCTATTTACCATATGGTTTTGAATGAACCAATGAGAACCGTGCGGTGTTGCCAAATCTAATAATACCAGCTGATTTGAAAATGTTGATTGGTATATTTTAATTAGTGTTGTCAACGGGCAATGTGGCAACGTCGCACTAGCCTTGTTTTGTGATTGGCTGCCACCAACTGCAAACTTACGTGGTCCCGATTATAGTAGTGTAGTGAAAATAAGTTTTTTAACATTTTTTTTTTCAAAATATTGTTAACATACAAAGAAACAAAAAGTGAGGAGGTTGGTCCAACAGTTTCTTACTTGTTGATCGCCTCCAGTGTCTGGAAGGTGACTTCGATTCTCTGGATGCCGTACATCTCTCGCACCTCGCCGCATACCAGAGTGTTGCCCGCGCGTTTCTGCTTGGGCTGATGGTGGACGCTGAAGAGTGCACCGATGATGAAGTCACCGTCCATGAGGGCGGAGACCCTCTGTTGCTGGTCCACCTGGGGGGCAGAGCCGAGGGAAGGCAGAAGCAGCAGGAGCCAGGACCACAGCGGCATCCCTCGGCGAGGATTACACTTTCTTGAGTCATCTGGAACATTTAAGGTTTAAACATCCATAGAGAAAGGCCAACATTAAACACAAATTTTGGTGATTTTTTGTCATTAAGTTACTTTTCTAGTAAGATGACTTGTAGAAGTACTCACTAAACAGTGCTCCAAAATAACTCAACACTAGAAAAAACAGAGGAAACACCATGTACTTATAATAACAGTTTGAAGGTGAATTTCAGTAATACGAGGAAGATAGCTATACAACTGAAATATGTACATAAATCTACAAACAAATACGGTAAGGTTTTTTTGTTACTTAAAAGAATTGTTTTTAGTAAAGACGGCATTACGTCGATGTCATTCTCTAGTTGGGTCTGATGTTGATTGGAGTATCCAATCACAATAGATTATCCCATTATCTGCTTATAGTTCATTTTAAGTTATAGAAAGTGAATTTATCTTTCTTGCCTGAGGTGGGCTTAGTCCCGAAACGTTTTTGAAAGTGTTATAGGCCATAACCATTTTTAAAGCAAAAGTACTTAAAGCTTCCCTTCCTTAAAATGTATAATGTATGTGACACATTGCTATTATATTTTTACGATTGATCCTAATATGCAATAACCCATTGGATTAAACGCTGTCAATATTTACAAGTAGATTTCGCCGGTAACATTTACAAAATTTTTATTCAAACTCTTACAAAATAGCGTCAGAGAAATGATGTGCGAATCAATGAACCATTGAATCAATGGCCACATGGACTGGCCAGCCGTCGCAATACCTTTGATTTATAACCTCACATTTATAACTATCTGCTGGAACTTTTCATAACCAAAGCCAGAGGGCAAGATAGTGGCGTCCAGTACACAATATTTCGTGGTATCATTTAACACGGGTTCATGTGAATTATTCTGTTCAATACCAAGATGGGTTTCTTTGAATTAGATTGGAATACAAACTAGTGACCGAACATCACACGGGGTGTTTTTGCTTGTAAAGTGATTTACTATAAACTGACATACGAACTACAATATTTTGTAAATATGAACTCGTTTTTGAGGTGAAATATTCATTTTAGAACGAATAAACGGTAAGAAAGATCTCATCTTTATATATAACTAGCTGTTAGCCCGTCTTACGTACGGGAATCAAGAAGTCGATTAAAATTGAATATAGTCCAGAACTGCTACATTACACGCATAAAGAAAAAAATCTGGCAGTTTTAATAGGGAAAATCATCTTGTAAACTAATGTCACGTGACCATCTACTTCTTTTATTCGATTATAGGCTTATATGATATACATTTTAAATCAGATAATTTTACAATTAAACAGCAATTGTGTTGAAAAGCCTTGAAGTGAGATTGGCGGTCAATTCACTAGTTTAAAGTACAGCAGCCACACACCTCCTTTAATTGCATATTGTCACTTACCGTACCTTATTTTACCTCAGTGGCCACTGAAACCTTAAGAGGATTTTGGTCTCTCATTCTCTTCTATCCCTTGCCTCTGCTAATGTTCACCCCAGTCTGGAGAAGTCTTTCATTGCTTGGTCCTCCAAGTGGTCGTCTTATTTGAGGTACTCATTTGGAATACATTTTTAAAAGTTAATGTATCTTCTGAAGAGAAGGAGAGGGAGAAGTCCACGCATATCTTGGTATTTAAATATTCCTCTTCGCCCTCTGTTCTTTCGTATCTCAACCTCTGTTATCATAAATGGCACGTATATTTTCTCTGCACTCTATTTCTCAAACCCAGCAATAAGGTTTTTCGGTTCTTTGGTCACTGCCCAAGTTTCTGAACCGTACACTACTGGGATAATATGGTATGATATGAATCCAATTTGGTATCTACTGACACCCTGCACCTTATTGGACAGTTTTCTAGGACCTACAACACCGGTTGACATTATTTGAATTGCCAACCAAAAATTTGTTATGCCAACATAGTACTGACATGAATTAAATAAATCGTCCATCCCTATCATTCACTGAATCAATTACTAAATAAATTAGTAGACAAAGAAAAGTAAATAGGGTATATCATTCTTTGTTCCACAGCCACATTTCGTACGGTCTCCAGCTTTGGGGCCATGCTCCTGAGTGCCTCAAAGTCCTACGTCAACAAAAGGAGGCACTGCGAATCATCACTGGTAGTGGTCGACGGGATCATTGTAGGCCACTTTTTGTAAGGACGGGCATATTGACTTTTTACTGTAATTACATATTAACATCTGTAAGCTACGGCCTCCATGACAACCTGTAGAAATTCAATAAAGGAATGAAGTGCACAGCCACAATACGAGATGCAAAACCAAGATTGACATTCCGTTTCGCATGATTAGTAAGACTAAGGACGCCTTCTATTGTTAAGGTACAGTGATAGAGCATTATGGCTATGGTTTTTATTAAACTGTAGCATACCGTAAATTTAAAGAACCCCATTTAATAATTTTCTATTGTTTGGGTGAAGTGAGAACATTATGGCTATGGTAGATGTGTAATACTATAATATACTGTAAATTTAAATCATTCTGTGTCCTCACCCATTGCAAACGCGAAGCTTGAGCATAACTGCAATAAGCATTTTGTACTTATATGCCAACCCCGTACGAAGGACGGGTACTCTGCTAGTCTTTTTCATAATTTATAATCACTAAATTTTATAGAATATCAAAACTTCTGTAAATTAATAAATAATCTGCTATACGAAATTAAACACTACTAGCATTAAAACAAAGTAAAACTGCACTAGATATTTAGTCCAGCGCAAATCTGTGTTTTAAATATTATATTGTTTTGCTAAAACGCATTCATGTTATTTTCCTAAAACTTCATGAAAGTAACTTAGTCTTATTTCACATCACTTAAGTAAAAAGTTAGTTTGTCCGGAAATCCTAGGGCGTTCTAAGTTTATTTCAAAACCAAATTTAACTTTGAGTTAAGTCCTTTTTTAATACACTTGTGCAATTAAATAAATTATAATAATTGTCGTAACGCTGTCAATATACTACTAATAATTCCAAAATGTTAGACTATTTGATAGTGCGTTTAGCATTTATTATGTTTTGAAACAATGATACAATATACGCTAAGTTCTGTATTTATTTAGATTTATTAGATTTAGTTGTGAAACGGAGATATTAAGCTTACGTTAGTCACGTTCACTTAGTCTTTAATTTGATAATTTAAATACTTGTCAAAGGGGCGCTAAAATTACAATTAGGCCTTCGTCTAATCATCTTTGTTTTATTTTGTGTTAACTTAATATTTATTTTAGGATACATATTTTTTTAACGTCTCGATACCAATAGCTCATTAGAACTCAGTTGCAAAACATTAAATTTTGGTCTTTAAAATTAAAAGGTTAAAATTAAATCCTAACTTTAAGGTTTAATGAGTTGAGGTTAGAGGTTTAATGACTCGTTTCACTAAACTTAAATCAGAGAACCGTGGAGATATGTAAAGTTTACTTTATGCCCTCAATCACGATATTTTTTTACCAAATACTTATTTTAAATTCACTTACAGGTTTACAGTTTTGATTTAGGCTACAAATAGATTTATATTTTATTTTAAATTCTTAATCATACAATTTTAGCTTTTATCTTTGGGGTTATATGATTGACGTTATAAAACATGTAACCAGTCAGTGGAACCCGAGACGCACATTTTTTACCTTTACTTTCCATCGTTAAAATTGGATTTCACCTGAAGGAGGGCCAAATTGAATAATGACTAAGAGTCGCACTTAATAAGAGAGGGGTGACAAGCTCCATTTGTTTCAGTGTCTGAGCTCATTTTTCATTCAGAGGGTTGTGTTCGTCCTTCTCACATCTTCAAAATACTGATGGAACCGAATAAATTATTCCAAAAATAGTTAACAAAGTTTTTGGTAATGGTTAGAAATTACTCGATAAAATTTCATTTGAGCGAATTTCCCATCTGGACCCAGGACCGATTTACTTTTTCGCATTGAGGTCCCTAGAGGCCAAAATCACTATCCGTTCAAATTCATATATATATATGTGTCCGTTAGCACGATTATACGAATACTGTAGCACGTTTCCCTTTCAGCTTCTCCACTCAAGTTAACCACCCAGTGTTGACAATGGTTAGTTGATGTTAAAGAAGATTCAACATCTTCAAAGCTAACAAACTCGACCCATGTAAATTTTAAATAATCAGACTTCTTTCCGGTTAAATATTATTTTTGATACATATATTGACAGGTTACTAATCAAGAAAAGAGAAGAACAAAACAAACTGAAATTCAGGTTGCACTGGAGAGAAGAATAAACATACACAGAGGATACGCGTCCGGTAACCAGACGTGGATTAGGCGTCCGGTAACCAGACGTGGATTAGGCGTCCGGTAGGGGGTCCTGGAACGCCATTACCACAATGATACGATGAGCCATCAGCCATCAGTGTTCGTGGTGTAGTGGATAGAGTGCTCGACAGATATGCGAGAGGTCCCCGGTCCGAAACCCATCGGTAACTTTAACTTTTTGTCATAGATTTTGCTTTGAATGTAATTTCTTCTTAACTGTACATCTTTTGTTAGAATTTTTGGCATTTATAATTTTATGTTATGAAGAGAATTGAACCTTAATTTGATTTTTTTCACTATCAGCAAGTTTGGTTGGTTAGGTTAGGTTATGACAGTAACTGCCGGACGCCTAATCCACGTCCGGTTACCGGACGCGTATCCTCTGCGATAAACATAATGATTCAGTCAGTTTTATTTAGTCAGTTGTTTTAATCTGTTTTATAAAATTGTATAACATGTTTTTAAAGAATCTACTAACATATTACAATGTATCTTCAATACATTGATTACGTGGTTGCATACAAAATGATCTGATGATAGGGATTCTGTTTTAACAAGACGGAAAATATAACAGATGTATAACATATGGTAGTGGTGATCGATTTCGATTGGACTCCCCAATCTTCATAAGACCCATTAGGCGAATGAATTTCAACATGATGCAAGTAAATTTCCCATTTTATAAATTTTTTATGTTGTTTCAGGTTGAGCAAAGTGTGATGATATCGACCAAGTATTTTTATCTGTTCCGGGTAATTTTGTTAAGAAAATGTTGGCCTCTTATAACCTTGAATTTGCATGTTTCTATTGGCCTTTGGCATGTGTGTGGTACAAGACAGTAAAAGAATAAACTGTACGAAATTGTAATTTTTGGTTGGATCACTGGGACGCGAAATTAAGACTGGTTTTGCTGTAAATGCTATGGCTGCGGCTCCTACCAACCATTTTTAAAATTGTGCGCTTTACTCAGTAGTACCTGGGGACCGAGCTATTATTTAAGCGATTTGGAATATTACACACATCCACTAAACTCTTCATACATCAATATTTCCTCATTTTACCCATTGTTTTCTGTGACTCTGAACTCTTGCCCATTTGAACTCTTTATTTCCACATTGGAACTCTTAACCCACTCATTTACACTTTGTGAACCTTTTACATTCATCTCGTCATCTTTGTACAATGGCATCTCCAAATAGTGATTTTAAAATTGAAACTTATACACGACTCACATCTTTTATTAAAACTCGTCTCAACGAAATAAGAAACATCGTAGATCAACATGTTGAACGAAAAGAAACATTAACAGTTGTGCAACACGAAGCCTTAAAGACTCTCATGCAAGAAACCCAGAAGAAGAAAGAAGACTTTGATTCTTATTTTTATCGAATCGTAAGTACATCAAGTGAAGATGATTTGAACATTGAAACTTTTAGCTGAAGATGAATACCAAATCAGTGAACTATTCATCCACATCACCAGCTACATTAAAGTGCTGCTTTCAAAAATTGGTTCTAACCCTTATTTGGCCAAGGTTAATTGCAGTCCAGCTCAACCTCAGAGAACAACTGCAATGAATGTAACCAAACCGAACTCATCAAGTCCAGCTCAACCTCAGAAAACCACTACAATGAATGTAACCAAACTGAACTCATCAAGTCCAGCTCAACCTCAGAAAACCACTACAATGAATGTAACCAACCCGAACTCATCAAGTCCAGCTCAACCTCCGAAAACAACTGCAATGAATGTAGCCAACTCAAACTCATCAAGTCCAGCTCAACCTCCGAGAACCACTGCAATGAATGTAACCAAACCAAACCCATCAAGTGAGATTCAAACCAAAGGCATCCAGCTTAAACAACCTGAAACAAAACTCTTCACAATAAAGAGGTCGGTAGCAAACACTATGCCTAAGTTCGCAAATTCGAAAATTAGAAATACCAAAGTAATAGTAACAAAACCTCAACCGACAGATACAACAGTGACCTCAACTACCTTGACAAGTGACAGTGCTACTATTCATCCAACCAACACTGCTTTCATCCCAAGTGACCATGCTGTTATAAACCCTACTGATAATGCTGTCACCCATCCTACTGACCGGGTTGCTATCCAAAAGACAGACAGTGCTGCCGTTAACCCAACCCACAGTGCAACCACTACAGTAAAGACAGTCCAGCAATCCAGTCAAGTGGTTATATCTTCCGATGGAGCTCTGACCAATAGCTACTCTTCATTACAAACTACAGAAAAAGTACTCACCTTACAATCACAACTCGTTGAATTATTAAAACAAGAATTTTTTGAATTGAAGAAATGTGTTATGAACTCTAAAGACTTGTTGTTAACTTATATTCTTCAGTCTCATAATGAAACTCCAAAGGGTCTTCGAAACTCTGATGATCATAATTTCAACGTATTAGGACTTCAGTGGTCTCCAGCAAACGTATTTAAGTTGTATCCCCAGCAAAGATGGCTTAGGTAGAAAAGCAGAAGTAGAAAAAAGCAACCAGCTGCTATAGCCAGCCTACGACAAACTGTGTTAATGTGTTTTATTCTAAACTAACTGTTGAAGTGAGGACACTTCAAGGCCAGGAGTATGTTCAGTTCTTTTATCTAAAAATTGTCTTTAGCCTGTTTACAATTTTTAAATTACTAAAACAGCTGATGATTTAAAGATAATCCATTGTATTATATAAATAAATATTATTCCTTTCTGTTCTTCTTGTAAACAAGACTTTTATTTTTTCTCTCTTAATTTTTCATTAATTTACTCAAACACTCCACACGAGCTTTGCTCGGGGAAAATCAATCAAAAGGATGGGAAATCTACCTTAATCTGATTGTCATAACAGATCCCACACTCCGCACTGCTAATTTAGCCTTTACTACAATGTATCGAGTAAGCTTCAGTATAATCATTGCCCAATAGTAACAAAGTGATGTTTTTGCTTTTGTACTGTATTTTGTAATTTCTAGTATACTGTGGGTAGATGCCTTTATGAACACATGTGTTACAACTTAAAAGTCTTTTGTTTACTTTTTCCTTGTTATTAATTCAACCAAGATGGTTACTTAGCAACCCATAAGACTAATGTAAAAAAAATTTGACTTTCAGTTTTATTTTTCTACGTAATTAGACTTGTGTTGGCAGTTCTAACTGCAGTAAACTTGTTTTTAGGCCAGGAATTAACTATTTACAACATTTAAAGAAAATCGTTGGAGCCGTTTTCGAGATCTTTGTGCAAGCAAGCAAGCATACAAGCAAACATTGCTCTATTAGAGTATAGGATTAACGCCCATAGTACAGAAAATGCACACAATGCTTGAACATTATGGTGCTCGACCCCGATGGGTTTTTATTTGTATAAATGCAGTACAAAATATTTACTCACCTGATTTAAATTGATGTTAGTGAGAGGGATGGCTTGAAGTAAATGCGCATACTCCCACTCAAGTTTGATTATTTATTCAGATGCGATTTAAATTTGTGATATTAACCGGGAATAACCATATCGTAAACTATTAGAGTGCGAAGTTTGGTGGAGAGATATAAGCATAAGTCGACTAATTACTACTTAGGATCGATTCGTTTTTTCAATCTTTTTTAGCCCTGAGAATATTATGATATGCTCATTTAAGTTAGTATACCTAACCCGCCATGTTAAGCTTCCCTATCCCAAGCGTGATGTATATAACATGTTTTTTTCAAAAACTCACTCGGTGAGGTAATGAAACCCACTTAAATAACATCGACCTGAATGATACCTAGCAATTTAATTTCATTTATAGTTACACATTATTGCACTTGCGATTAATTAAATCCGTTATGTAAGACAACATTTTTCACTTCACTTGGTTTTGGATTTTCTTACAAAACGAGATCGGAAACGGTTGCAGTAATAAACAACATTTAATGTAAACACATCAGTGACAGCTAGAAAAAAAATCTATCCAAACAGATGTTCAATATTTCATAGATGTCGTATTCTCCAAACAGATGATAAGTATTTCATAAATGACGTATGTGGTAAACATTGGGGGAAAACTTGACACAAATCGCACAAAATTGGGGTTTTAAACGTCCGTCATTTTATTTATAAAATAGTGAGCCATATTTTAATGGCTTAAGACTGTAATATTTCATTTCATTTCATTCATTATTTAGTATTAAGTTTTTTTTTATGTTAACTTCTATTCATACACCTAATAATCACTCCTCAGAAAGACTGTCCTAATATTCATTTTCCTAATTTATATAATTTCATTAATATGTTCAATTCATCATTAATAATATTCATTTCATATCCTATATTTTTTTTACAACGCCCACAACCTAATTATTTATTAAATATGTAAGAGAATTGCAATACATCAAAATTTCTTATAATATCATTTCAAAATTAGTCCTTAAGGAATCAAAATTTAAGAAGCAGTGAAAGTGATCCCATGTGTTCAACAATCAGTGATGTGAACATTGAAATTGAGAGAGAAGGAAGCCATTGAGAAGTTGAAATTGTTAGAAGAAGGACTCAAAATTTTACCTAAATCAAATTCATTCATCAAGAAGACCAGTTTCAAGTTATATCACAGTTTTTTTTAGCCTAAACCTCAAGAGGACTCAACTCAATCATTATCTTCAAACTTAAGTATAACCTTTTCTTTAAACTCTTTTAAATTTTGTACTAATTGGACTTACCTTTTGGACAACACCAAAATTAGATTTTCCATTGTTGAGATTGTGTAAATTTAACATTTTAATTAGGCCTATTTGGACGCTATTAAATTGATTAATTATCAGCATTCAAGCCAGCACGACACCCTACCCTGAGAGATGTCACATTTAAATTATTTGAACCTTTAAGTTATTATTCAAATTTATTTTTTTATTTCAATTTAATTTCAACCCCATACACCATTGTCAATCCTTTCATTGTAACGTCAAGCCTTTTCTCATTGCATGTTAATTGTTCATTTGTTTAAATAAAACACATTTTGTAATCCATATCTTTGTTAACTTATTAACTTTAAACATTTGTAGAATAGGCCTAGCCTAAAATGAATATTTTAAGGTGAGTTTACAAGACACTCTTGCCAATCCAGTGAATACATTAAAATGATTTGAATCTTGATAGGTACTGTCGTATTTCAGGAGAAGGTTGAGTAAAATTCATTCCAGGCCGTGACAGACAGAAATTGAGATAAGACTTGTTTCAGATGATTTAATTTATAAAACGCAAAAATAATCTAAGCATATATAATTCTGAGCAATGTACAAACGAAATTTTTTATAGATTATTTGTATAGATATTTAAGTAAATAAGGAAACAGCTGGTTTTCGGCCCTAGGGATGTAAAAACCAGCTTGGTCCCCAAATAACGATGACAGCTGGCATGGACAGCAATACCATAGCTTTCGGCCTCCAATAAACGTTTGTAAAACGGCTAAAAAATCGTAGTGTGGTGAAATAGTTATTTGTGCAACTAGTGAGCAAAGTGAACTTTGCACTTGAGTTGCACATCTTTTTTTCTACAGTTACCATAAAACAAATAAATTGGCAAAGAAACGTGCCTTCACGTTGCAAATCTAGAGTGAGACAAAGTAATTAGAGTGAGACAATGTTAACATTGTCTCATTGATAAGCGAATTGGCCACTTTGCTTTCTCAAATCAGTGAGAGAACATGTACATTGTTAGGTAACTGTAGGAAAATAAAATAATGTATCGTATGTTAGTTTGATATAAATAAGATCAGCTATGTTTACATTTCAGTCTTCAGTTGCAACAGTAAATAAACTTCTGAATGATTTAAGATTTGAGGTTGGTGGCTATAAAACCACATATTTAATCTCTTCCTACTTAAACACTTAAACACACGAATTTTACCTACCATCATTTATTGATACATTAAATGAATAATATTTTATGCAATGAAAACCTAACGAAAGATTGTTTTATTTTGTCTAAGCTTTAGAAAAAATATAATAATTAAGTCAAAGAAAATAAGGCCAGATATAAATACACGGATACTAATTCTGAATTGCCACATACTAAAAACGACTATGTTAAAACCTATGTTAAAACAAATTAATACTCCTGTAAAAAAACGTTAACGCGAATAAAAATAGCACGTCCTAGTTCAACCGAATCGAAAACCTAACAATTTAAAATTCTTAGATTAATTCTACATAGTATCATCTTGTAAATGAGCTACTTAAATAATCAATGTAACATTTAGACAAAAATATGGAAGCAAATAGTTAGATAACATATTAATAAAATTTATATATTCGCTTTTTTAGCAAAGCACTTAGATATCTTTGCTAAATGAGTGCACAAAGGCGTCTGTCAGTTACATTGCAATTTGTCTGTGAACCTTCTAATCCATTACAATTTAACATGTTCCTAAGCCTTCTCTTGTTTGTAGATCAGGTTACTCTAATATTTTGACTACAGTTTTTTCTACCCAGCATTGTAGTTTCAGTTTATTTTTCTAAATCAAAGAGGAAACAATTAAATTTATTCCTAGCTAAAAATACGGTATGAGGCAAAGATGAGCGTAATGTTTTTGCAAATACCTACCATTTCCTTAAAAATCGGCAATCCAACCAAAGTTTGACTACTAACATGAATTCCCCAATAATTTGAACACATTTGCATAAAATGCATTACACTTTAGTTTTATTGCCCCCTCCCAATGCACAGTCCGTATATTTTACTATCACGACTAGGATTTAGAGTAAACATCGTAACAATTCAGTTTTATTTTCACTACCACTATACTGAAGTGGTGTTTGCTATATTCATGAGTTAGTACGAATTTCAATGTTTAAACTACAAAGCTCTTTTAAATGTTAAAATTAAATGTATGAAAATTCAAACAAAACCTCAGAGAAACTACTTTACTTATTACAATATCCCTATTATGAAATATGAATGAAACTTGTAGTTCCTAAACTTCACAGTTGGCTGGACTAGTAGTTGGATATATGTCTTGAAGTGGGCGAAGATAAGTCAATCATCAATGAGTTTTATTGGTTCGAAAGTCAGTCTAGACCAGACAATGCGTTTTATGTTGTTAAATAATAATGAAATATCCAAATGAAAATTTTTCATACTAAAATCATGTCCACAAAATCTAGCAAATTAAAAGCACCCCACGAGAGGGTTACTTTCTAGGAATTGTACAAACCTCACCAAAGTAATAACATGACAAACATTATGCTGTCTTTTCTTCTGTCCTATCATCACGAAA